GCACTGATGGATTTTTATTCTTTTTTTTTTTTTCAGTTTAGTCGGGCTCTCTGTTTAGATCTTGCTCAAATGGAAGAAATAAAACCAGGGATTTCATTTTCTTTCGGTTTACCCTCTGTTTTCAGATTAAATATTATCAGTTTAGGCAGACTTCACTGTACACATGGAACTATCTTCCTGTGATGGGAATTGAACCCATATCACATTATACCAATGATGCTGATAGCATCGAACAAGATATAGGGAACTTTTTAAAGACCGATGTACAGAACAAATGCTGGAATATTCAAAACTTTATACACTCTCACAGGATTCTGGAAAAATTCCACTCATGAAGCGACCTATTTCTCAAGCCCTGGCATATGACACTTGATGGGCCAGAGAGTGACAGACACACATAACGACACAGTTCATTGTGGTGGAAAACACAAACAGAAGTGAACACAATCATGGGAGATCAGATAAATTTGTTACACACACATGCACACAAACACACACAAACAAACACACACACACACACACACTCACAACTTACCAACCCCTGTGGGGAGGGGAGGGGTAGGGTGAGAGAAGTCACCACATATAGCATGGCCCCATGAATCCAAACTTAAGTCCTTAATCACCACTACCAGCCCAGAACATTTGAGGCACCCCCTGAGAGCAGAACAATTATGTGAAAAAAAAGAAAAAAGGAGAGATAAGGACAACCTGAACCATTTTGTGAAAAAGAAAAAAGATTATAAAAAACGAAATTCATAACTTTAATGGGGCTCTTCTTCCCTCATCCTCCTCCTCAGTTCAGCAACCTCCGATGAGAAAACTCGTCTCTCGATAGCCTGATCTCCAGATCAACTTGCAACGAGAATGCGGGTGGAGAAATATTTCTTTCAACAAACTTGAACAGCTTTCTGTTAATATAATCTGCCTGTTTCAAGCAACATTCTCAGTAGGCCTGTTAAAAAAAAGCAAGTCTCTGTTGGCTTAAAGGACAGGATTTTGATAGAACTAAATCTCATCCAATCTAATGGATGCTCGGGTGTTCATGATTCTTCCTACAAACATAGGAGCAGCCCTGGTTCTTGTCGGTCACCAAATTAAGACAGACAGCCATTTAGATGGTCACATTATTTCTACGTTTGTCTCTCCTGAAGTGACAACTGAGAATTATTTTCAAAACATCTCCTGCCAGCAACGACAACCACTGCAACATCATCTCCATAATGGCAAACATCACAGAACAGAGAAATCATAGCAATACATTCTTCACAAACACAAGTTCAGGGCACATTTGTCAAAAGTTGATCATCATAACAGAATAAAATCTGCACAAAATTACATCAAAGCAGTAAAAATAATACAATGATATAATAGTACATAGATCAAAACAAACATGATAAATAAAGTTGAGCTTTTGTAATGACAAGTTTTTGTATAGGAAAATAAGCATAGCATTTCAGCTGCTTTCCTCAGTGATGTACAATGATACAGAGATGTAAAATAGGCAAATTCTATCTCACTACACTCCACATCTCCCATGTTCACCCCTCATACACAACATATTACTCTGAAGCTTTAAAAGCAACCAAGACACTTCGCCACCTTAGAATTACAAATTTTTATCAGACATTTTTGGCCGTGTTGAGTTACTCTGAGCATAAGGTCAGAAAGCAAATGTTCTACCTGCTCTAACAAAATTATAAGATTATTGTGGGTCATTATCAAGATATACCAATAATTGCATTCGAAAATGCTTGACATGATGTGAAACTCAAAATCTTGACGTCAAATTTCCTAAAAACAAGGCGAGCAGACAGAGCTTTGTAATTCTGAGGTAGCAACTTCTACATGAGACAGGGGAGGGGTTATTGATATAAATCCAGTTGTATAAAACAACTTGTTAATGCCACACCATATGCTGAGAGCTAGTCGAGACCATGTACAATTCAGCCTAAGTGGAAACTTTCAAATGATATTGCACCCTGTCTGCACTGTAAATATTTTTAAATTCCACACCATAGTTTTGCCCCAACTGCAATTCCTGATGTGTCTGTGTTCAAGAGTTGTCCATAAAACCTTGGATTTGCCCTAAAAATGCATCTTTCCCACAAACAGGGAATGCCAACATTGTCACCCCTAGCCCTCAGCTGATAATAGAGATAAAAATATAACAAACTATTGCTAGCAACAGAGATACAAAACAGGCAACTGGGTAATCTATGTAAACTAAAAACAAATTGATATGATAACTAAAGCTCTGTTGTGAAGTTCTTAAAAAAGCCCATCTCCAAAAGAGGATAAGTGTGGTCTATGGGATATCAGCACCACCATGGCTTTCATTTCCTCAACATTCCACAGGCGCCGTTTAGGAATTGACACAGGCACAAACATAGCTGCCAACTTTTCCAAACCACCACACAGACTCTTACGTACACCACAGGTCAAGATAATGAACAAGTAACTTCTCTCCAAACCCTTCACACACATTTTTCTGCATTCAATAAATTCAAGCAATTCAAAGCAGACCTTCAACAAAAATGTCAATGATTTTTTTGGGTAAAAGTCTGTCCAACTGACTTTAGGGCTGTATTCTTTTATTCTTATTTGTTAATCCAGGCTTGAAAGTTCAATGAGCAGCAAATCAAATAACAACAACAACAAAAAAACAATTTCTTTTTACATCGAAACAAACTTCCTAGCTCAGACCCACATAAAACATATCAAACACCTTTTTGATGTACTGGTTGGGAGCTATGCATGAAGGACATTTACAGAATTTCCATTAGGTATACCATCGAAGAACTGTCACAGGGAACAGGAGCAGTTAACAGTCTGAACAACTGCACCCCAGAAGAAGGGGCAACCACCCCTCGAACAGGAAAAGAACACACTCATACAGCAGAGTCTACTTAATTAAATTAAAATCTGCAGGACTGCCGGTGCTTCTTAACTTAGTCGTATTTTCCGTTTAGAAAAGCATCAAGGAATCAATTAGCTCTGTTCACTTTTCTTTTCAGATTAACCCCATTCGGCTTGTGAGGACTCCGCTGTATTTTCTCTGAAATATTAAATATCGCCCCTGACGTCTTTCTCTCCTCCCTGAAGGCCACAAACTTCTTTTCCAAAGTTAACTATCTGTGTTTAAACCAGTTTATAATTCATCATTGAAACAGAATACGAAAAAAAATTGCACTCCAATTGACAATTTTAGTTAGTTTAGTATGAGGTTTTACGGTGCTCACAACTGCATAAGGTCATATGAGTGCGCAAAAAACTAGTTAGTTTTTTATTCGCAGTTCACTGCACGGCTGGGTACGGGTCATTTGATCTTAAAACATTAAAATATTTAATTGACAATTTGCATACTAGACCATGATAAGAATACACAAAGCAAACTGAGAGGGTTGATATAACAAAGAAGGAGCATAATGCAGACAATGGTAAATTGCTTTAGGCTATCATCAACAGCAAACTTAAATAAAGGAATGCCTCAAACTACTTCGAGGGGGGACACAGATTCTGACCAAAAACAGTTGGGATATAGGCTAGACGTACATAGGTGGAAACTGCAGCCTGGGACAAATGTACAAGGAGATGTCTAGTTGATGGCCTATACTCCAGTACAGGGTGAGAAAAGTTCAGTGATGACAATGATCATCATCAATAGCATCAGCATTATGGAGCATAGAGACAACACACAGTCTCCAACATATTGTAGAGCTAAAACTTTAAACCTTGCTACAAGTCTTTGTTGGTCCATATTTAGCATACCGGTACAATAGAAACAAAAATAACATGGAATGCTGTCACAAAATACATATATATATAAGGGACAGAGCAATCCTAAGTGTTCATGAAATATGTACCTCATTGTCAGAGAAATGTGTAGGAGATGAATAATATCTTGATGCTTGAGAAATGTGTAGGTGACAAAGAATACTTTGATGTATGAGAAATGTGTAGGAGATGAAAAATACCTTGATGTACGAGAAATGTGTAGGAGACAAAGCATGCCTTAGTCTTAGAGTAATGTGTAGGAGTTAAGAATGCCTAAGTATCAGAGAAATGTATAGAGACACAGCATACTTTTGTGTCATAGTGTCAAAGAAATGTGTAGGAGACTGTAGAATCCCAGTCCGGGAAATGTGCAGCAGACAGGGAACACTATTGTCCATACACATGGAAAGGAGATAGAGCTCCTTCTAGTTAATACAAATGTGAAGGACATAACCTCCAAACACTTACACTACACAACAGGGTCCTTTGACTAAATACCTAGAGGACAACTGTTGGGGTGTCGCCTCTGCACCACCCACTGGACATGCTGCGGAGTTCGAACCAGAAGTGGCAGTGACCAGCATATTATGTTGTATATGTTAAAAGACATAATTGACCAAAGTACGCCTCTACCCATCAAAGTCATATATAGGCCTACACAGGGCTTTGGGCAATGAGTGGTGTAAGTGGTACAACCAATCTTACATCACTCAAAAAATGATGTCTCATGATAGCGGTCCCTTGACAACACTTTGTTTAGACATTTGCTAAAACTTAAGAAAACCACACAAATATCACAAATGGCCCATGGCTAGTACTAAAGTGTACTATAATTTGTCAACAAAATCATCTTTCTCCAAACTTAAAAAGAATCTCATGAAGACGTTGATTCAACAAATCACAAATGCTAAATACAGATTAAAAAACAAAAGTCTCTGCAATGACATGCAATGACAACGAGTTTGCGGGGGCAGAGGTTCTAGGGGGGGGTGAGTGGGGGAACTAGAGACAAAAAACAAGCGCAGGATGGGGGAGGGGGGGGGGGCAATTCCACCATGGTATAGACCATTGGTCCAACAAGACATCACAGATGAATGAGCTCCTGCCACAAGCAGTGCTGTGGTCAGCTAGGAGCCAAGGTTCCCACTTGCTCCGCCATCAACAACATCATCATCATCGTCTTCATCACCAAAGTCATCGAGAAGATCATCATCTAGCACCAGACGGTACATGCTGTCAAACATTTTCTTGCGCTGGAGAGTGCTGCCGGTGAGCTCCTCCACTTTACTCTCCGTGTCCTCCGCCTGCGATATGGGGGGCTCCAAATGTGGCTGGTCACTGCCGTCACTGGTAGAGTCCCCACCATTGGCTCCAGCATCTCCTACTCGGTCTTTGGGAGCCTGAGTCAAACTCTGACTTGTCGAAGTACCGGAGGAACCTTCCTCCTTATCTCCCCTGGGTTCAGGACGTTTTTCGCTCACACCCTCCGCCGACACAGCTGACCTCCCATCAGCACCCTCAACCTTATCACCCGAATCACTCTGCACTTCAGGGGACACCACTCTGTCAACAGAGTCCTGGGTGGTCAGTCTCTCCCTGGAGCCTGATTCGGCACGGTTGATGTCCACACCAGAGTCAAAGCTGGCCGAACCGGGGATGACAAACTGCTGAAGGCTCCCTTTGTTGTCCACCTCTCTGTCCACGGCGTCGGCCCTGGTGTCCTGGCTCGAGTAGTCCTCCAGAATGACTGGCCCAGTGGCCGGTGCCTTGGACACAGCAGGCCGTGCTATCTTGCCCTGGTCAAATGCTTCCTCATCCGAGCTAGACAGTTCATCCATGGCTGCACTGGCTTCACCTAGACAGGAAACAGAACAGGAGAGATTAAGATTAGAGTCAAATGGAATGAGACAAGAGACAAATAGAGAACAAGATTGGAGACACCTGGAATGACAAAAGAGACAAATATAGAAAACAAGAAGAGAGACAAATGGAAAGAGAGAGAAAAAAAACATGAAACAAGTTTAGACACAAATGAAATGAGAAAAGAGGAAAAAAAAAAAGAACAAGATAAGAGACAAACAGAACAAGAGCAGAGGCAATTAAAGAACAAGATTAGAGACAAATTATAGAAAACAAGCGCCATGTTTGAGTTTGAGTGAAGAGAAGCACATCGACACAATAGCCATCAGCCAAGCAGGGAAAAAGTGTAAGATGACAGACAGAAACAACAGAAGGAAAAAAAAATAATAGGACCAGTCAGTGGTGCCCAATCAGTGGTGCCCAATCAGTGGTGCCCTCCAAACCCCTGCCCAAGAGAACAGGAGTAGAGATGAAGAGAGAACAAGAAAAGAGACAAATACATAAAAAGACAACAGAGTTCGAGTTTTTGAGTTTGAATAAGAAGAAGCACATCCACACAGTAACAAGGCAGAGCAGGACAGACAGGCAAAAACAAAAGAGGGAAATTTAAAAAGTGCAACTAACCAGCTGTTTTTGTTTTAGTAAGAGTTTTACGGCACTTGCAACACAATAAGTTCATATAATTAAGTGCCGAGGATTAGAGGCGTTACAAGAGAGTAACAAACACAAAAAAGAAGGAGGGGCGATGAAGACGACAGATGTTTGATAGGAAAGAAGGAGCAAACCACACCACAGCACCCACCAACCACCCGCACCGACCAGTTGAACCCTCCAACCACCCACCGAGAGCAGAGAGACAACACAGCACAAGATTAGACATAAATAGAGAACAAGACACAATGGAGACATCTTTACGAGAACCAAGACCACTGCGACGATAACTACTGGGGTAAAAGATTTATATGGCTGAAATACAACATAAAGTGCTCACTAGAGGTCTTGTCACTGTCAGTCAACTTGGAGCCGGACGCCATGCGAGTGACCTCGTCACGAGTTTTGACTCCGACAGCTTTCATGATTGTGTCCAGCTGCTCTTTGTAGTCCATGTGACCGTTGACCTGAGGGGGAACAACATAGTAGCTCACCATGTGCGGCTGACCAGTCAAGTAATACAGTATCTTTTAGTGTTGGCTGACTGGTCAAATAATACAATATATTATTAGTAAGAGGTTTATGGCACTTGCAACACAATAAGGTCATATAAGGGCCAAAGATTAGAGGTGTTACAAGAGAGCAACAAACACAAAAAAGAAGAAGGGGAGATAAAGATGATAGGCTTTTTCTACGAAAGAAGGAGCAAACCACACCAGAGCACCCGCCAACCACCCACACACTATCTTTTAGTGTTGGCTGACTGGTCAAATAACAGTTTTTCAGGGGTTTTTTTAAAATTGTCAAAGCAAAGAGAAACGCATCGACACAATAAAAACAACACAATAGCTCATCCTATTGGCTGACTGGTCAAATAACAGAGTAGCTTTTTGGGCAGGCTGACTGACAGAACACAAGTGTGCAGACATGCGAGTGGGGATTGCTCTCCACTACCAGTACAATTGCAAACCTTTCAGAAACCTCATGAGAAGAGGACCACACAAGAGCGCCCAACAGCCACCCAAATAGATAACAAAATATCCATCACGTCATAGTTTACTGTAGTCACCACCGAAACATCTGCTCTTCAGCAGGAATACCACAACCTTTTCGTATTGCAACCCCTATATCCAGGCATTCCTTCAGCACACACTGCTATGCCCTTAGATTTCTTTTAAAAAATAAAAATTTTGTGGTAAGCTGAGAAAGCTCATCATTAAATAAATAAATATGCTAGTACCAATTATAATGAGATGTAAGTCGCACTGAGCTATTCTGAGTTACGCAATTCTATCAACATGGCGGGTCAAGTAGGTGAGCATTGGCCAAGTCCTTCACACACACTTTTCTGCATTAAATGAATTCAAGTTATTCAAAGTAGAACTTCGGCAAAAGATCTCTCCCATCGACTTAAGGCTTCATCGCCATTATAATTGACAAATCTTGTCTAGTCTGCGCAGACCAACACTAGAAAATAGAGACAACATGTACGTATTTTCCAATATGAAAACGAATTTCTATACTCAGAGACCCTTCAAAACTAATAAAATACTTTTTTTTTATGGGGGGGGAAGGGGAGTTATGTCCTTGTTGGCAGCTATGCAATACTCACAAGTAACCAACCTTCCCACAACCAGCAATCCAACTAACAAAACAGTGTTAACTGACCACATCTCGGGAACCAGGCCATACTCACAAAGAGATACTCACCACCCAACAACACACTACACATCCACTACTCACCACGTCACTGAGGTCAATGTTGTGCATTCGTCGGTCTGCCCACCTAATCGGCCGGAGCCCAGCAATACTCAACTGAACAGACGATGTCCGGTACAGAAACTTCAACAGCCAATCTCCCCTGTGAGAGCAAAGGACAGAGAGTTAAAAACATGGAAGTTCTCACCCTCCTGACATTTCAACTGTGAGAAAAACCAAGCATTTCACTTTTTTTCTGCAGTATGACAGAGGTTAGCTTCGGCATCAGCAGGAACAATGAAGGACAGTGGACAAAGCCGAAAGGACTCTTTTCAAGCGAAACCTCTGTCGAACAAGTCTCTTCGGAGTGCATCGTGGAATATTCGCACCATGTATGAAGCAGGAAAGAGTTCTCACGTGGCACAAGAAATGAAGAGATACAAGCTGCACATACTACGAGTCAGCAAAACACACTGGATACAATCTGGACAGAAGCAGCTGTGCTCGGGAGAACAAATATTACGTAGCGAAAAATGGGAAGACATGGAATAACATCAGTCGGCTAGCCTAGGATAGGGAAAGGTGGAAAGTATTTGTTCATGGCCTATATCCTGATCCACGGTGAGAAAGGCAGTCATGATGACGACTGAGATTAACGTCTTCACTGCTGTGTAGACATATGTTCTCACTTGTTTTCTCCTAAACTGGTTCACTATCACTTTTTTCTACTGGTTTAAAGTAGACATTTTAGAAGATGTCTTCACAACTTGTGCAGTGTCTTATTTTTAATATAAGGAAGTATGTTATGGGCTTGTTCAAATCTGTCATGAATAAATATCGAGTCTTGACTGAACAAAAGTGGAAATACTTCAGGACCGAAAGGGTTAAAAGTACACAACAACTTCCTCAAAGTAAATGGAAATACCTAAGAATCAAAAGGGTTAAAAATAAACAACAACCCCCTACCTAGAGGATAGTTTCTTTTGCACCCATCGTTCACCAGTGTAGTAGAGTAATCATAATGTAACATTATAAGTACCCACTTTCAGTATTCCATAACGAGTACTGTAATGGTCAGTATATCGGTATCGTAGAGAGCAAGAAAGAGCAACACACTCACACATACAGAGAAGAACAACAAAGATGTCTAGCCTATGGCAGCACTAGCCACAGTCATGTAAAGTCTAAGTCTTATATTAAACTCTGGAACACAACCCGAGAAGTTGTTTCATTTATTAATGTTTAATGTTGTTGGTGTTCTTGGACTGTTCGCAAGTAGAATACACAATAACCAGAAAGCACATGCCTAAAGAACATTGAGATGGTCCAACCTCCATGTCAAACACTACACAGAGAAAGCTGTTACATTCTTACCTGCAGAAGCCGTTGACAATCTTGCCAGCCACAACCTTGGAAAACATTGCCCACACCTTTGGATCTCCGGTGGCTGGGGTACCCAACATCACCACATCCTCCACAATACCTTCGCTACCTGTGGGGGACGAAGAAAACTGAGTGAACAACAGTTCTACACTTACTGCCTACAGACCCACAAAGGGCATCACACCCTTCTGTTGTGCAAAAACACATGCCATAGCTGGTAACTTTTCAAAACCAAAAAACAGACTGTACCCATACAGACAGCCAAGATGGTGGGCATTTAGCCATATAACCCCTCTCCAAACTGTTCACACTTTTCTGCATTTAATGAATTCAAGCCATTTAAAGCACACCTGCAACAAAAGATCTCCCCAATTGACTTATGGATTTCATTCTCACTATTATTCATAAATCCAGTCTCTAAAGTTTACAATTTTTCCTAACCAATACTAATAAACAGAGGACATTTTAACTTTAACTATCACTGGCAGCATCTGACAAGTTCGTGAGCTAAAATACAATACCTGGTGCTGAAATTGTAAGGAGAACAATGTTGTAACCTGTTACTCACATTTCCTTTTGCAGAGCTCCTCCAGACAGCTGAAGATGACCCGTGCCCCCAGACTGTAGCCAATCAGAGTGACGGGACGGTTGCCCTGAGCAAACACAGATAGTTATAGTTTTAATCAAAAGAAAGACAAATGCACAAGCTGTAAGACTACAATAACAAATAGCATTTATATAACACAAATTCCCACTCAACAGAAAGCTCTATGCACTTTACAATCTACATTATCACTGCAGCAGACCTAGTAGCATTTTGAAACATTTTGCACTTCCTGAGAAGTATACATATTATATCAATAATTCCACGTGCTAAGAAAACGACGACCAACTGATCCCCACCATGCTATGACACATATAGATGCTGTACCTGCTCCCGAGACAGAAGCACCTCGGCCAGCATGCGTCCGGCAGCCTGGGCTCTCTGTAGTGCCACAGACCATGGGTTGTCAATGATGTTCGACGCAGACACCAGCGCCGCCGGCCACGCGATGGCTGCCAATATTCCTGCCAGATCAAAAGATTCAACAAATCAGAGACGGCTATTTAACCAAATAAACGAAGTAGATAGTTTTAGTAAATGTTTTACGGCACTTGCAACACTATAAGGTCGTATAAGTGCCGAAGATTAGAGGTGTTACAAAAGAGTAAAAAACACAAAATAGGAGGGGAGATAAAGACGATAGATGTTTGATAGGAAAGAAGGAGCACACCACACCAGAGCACCCGCCAACCACCCATGAAATAGATAGTGACAAGATGAAGAAGATCAGATAAGATAGATACAATATGATGAGCTAAGATGAAATAAGACGACATCAGATGAGATATCTCATGATAAGATAAGACATGACAAGACAAGACAAGACAAGACAAGACAAGACAAGACAAGATCTCTCTCTCTCTCTCTCTCTCTCTCTCTCTCTCTCTCTCTCTCTCTCTCCCTCTCCCTCTCCCTCTCCCTCTCCCTCTCTCTCTCTCTCTAACACACATCCACACTCTTTTCTCTTTCCACCAGCACCCCCCCCCCCCCTCTCCATTTCTCAAGGCAAAATCAAATGAGATAATGAAAAATATTTTCCGGACAAATTTCCTTCTCTTCACACATACCATTGAGGACAGTGTATTTGAGAGCCTCCTGTGTAGCCATTGCCATGGCAGAGTTGAAGATATAGTCCATGGCCTCTCCGAGCGGCACCAGGTACTTGGTCTCCCAGCGTAGGACGTACTGCTCTGGGGAGGAAGCCAGGTGTTTCCAAGGCCGCCGGAAGTCTGGGGAGATACACATGCAAATTCCAAAAGACTATACATACATCAGTGGCTTTCTAAGACAGAATAAACATCAATAATACATATCAACAGGGATAAACACTCAAATACTGAACACGCTGCACTAACATCAATTGTTTTCTGCGGGGGATAAACACTCAAAGCCTTGGGGGGGGGGGGGGGGGGGGATGTTAATTTGGGTAAGTAAAGAGAAGCACTTCAACACAATAATTTTTTTTGTTTTTTACTCTTTCGTAACACCTTTAAGCTGTGAACCCAAGAGGGTCAGGGAGAGAAGCAACCTGTGTGAAAAAGCCAGAAGAATATCCAACCAGCTGATAACGGGCACGATCAGTAAACAGACCCTTTCATAGATCCTGGAGAGAAGAGGGGAGCAGCTATGGCATTGTGCCACCTGCAATGACGCCTATTCTCCAACCAAATAAGTATGTAAGTAAGTAAGTACACCCAAAACTTCCACTGGTCTACAAGCTTTTATCACATTCAAGTCTGACTTTCAAGCATAAAAACTTTTTTTTTGTTCTAACACAATAGGTCTAAACTTTCATTGAACAGATAGTTGCTGATGTAGCAGTAGATACTCTTCTGTTTAAAATTAGTCCGGGTTTTACAGCAATTGCAACCCAATTAGGTCAGATAAGTGCCACAGATTAGAGGTCTTACAAAAGAGTAACAAACACACAAAAAAAAAAAATTAGGAGAGAAAAGGACAAAAGATGTTTGATAGGAAAGAAGGAGCAAATCACACTGTTACTGTAGCACCCGCCAACCACCAACAGATGATCTTTTATTGAACAGACAACAACATTAGCCTAGTATGAGACTACATTTTAAATCCTGTCAAGACAGCATTTGTGCCCTAATTATGCCAGTGCAGCAGTGAATTATCAAACATAAGGTTCTACATTTTACCATTTTCCTAACCTGTTAGAATTTTTAAGATTGAAGAAAATTTTCCAGCAATAAATATGGGCTCAAAAGTAAAATTGAAACAATGAAAAAAAAAATTTACGATACTTAAGTCATTCAGTATGTGAAACAGTCACGCGATCATAAAGGAAATGAATATTCTGAAAAACGCCAGCTATGCACAAAATAAATCACCACCAGTATTATATCCATTACATGTACTGCAGCAATTGCCCTTCCCCACCTCACCCCCCCCCTCACCACTCCCAACACATTACACACAAACATGGAAGAGAATCAATATCTATCCTCCTAGCCTGCTAGTGTTAAATTGTACGTTGGACCAGCACAATAGATGGACTGTGATTGAAAACAGTTTTTAATCACAAAAGGTTGTAGGCACACACTGGTGACACATTTAAAACAGTCAGACAGGGAAAGAACATCAACTGTCCACAACACCTTGGCCACAATTTGTGCATTCTATGAGTAATGATCTGCTCTTATCTTCTCCCCCCCCCCTCCCCCCATTATTTCCAATATTGTAAAACTAGAACATATTGTCATAAAGCAAGACAAACGAGCCATACTTAAAAGCTTGGATCTATGAAACAAATGTGAGGCAGTGTGGTGGAATCAGGCTCTCGTCAATTTTTGGGCATGTAGAGTTATTAATATCATCTTAAAGCTTGTTTACTTGTGTTTATTTTGATGAAAAAAATGTCCATTTATCTTGAAAACAAGTCAAGATATTTGTGAATGAAGGAGTTGAGGGTCACCTGTTTTCAGAAGAAAAATTAGAGAGAAAATGGCTGCCAACGATTCATTATTTCCTTTGCTAAAGAGTCTGTGGTAACTGAAAATTTCCATTTTTTGTGCCTTTAATCAACGTTTTTTCAGAAAAATTCACACCGAAATGAGTTCTTTAATGGGCATGCAAGGTGTTGGGCCAAAAAACAAAAATTTGATAAAAATTCACAAACCAGCGAAAAAATGCAAGTTTCTTCACTTTGATTATTTTGACGAGAGCCTGATTCCACCACGCTGCCTCACAAATACTCGTTCAAGTGGTGGACAGTGACTGACAGGTGACCAAAAAACTGCACACAGCACAGCACAGCTACCCACGGCACACTCAGCGACACTCACAACAAATGCAGCGACAGACGAAGACATTGTTTTATGCTTTAGCAGAGGTTTTACGGTGCTTGCAACTGCATAAAGTCATATGAGCACCAAGGGGTGGATGTCAACAGGGAAGTCCTTACAGGGAATCAGGCTTACTCTGCTCATCTCTCTAGCTTCAACAGCACAAAGTCTGCTTCAACTATCAAGGCAACCCAGAAATACCGGGTCACAAGAGTGTGACAAACATACAAAAGAAGTAGAGGATAAATTACGATAGGAAAGAAAATGCATCAGTTTCCTGTTGCAGGTCAAGCACAGTTATGAGCATGACATTGATGAATCAGCCCATTTACAATTACAATTCTACTGTGCATAAGAACTCGATATATTAATGTCCCCCCCTTTGGGAATGACCTAAAGACACTTCAGTCAGTAGCACTGGCCCAGGGGGTACAGAGAAGACAACAATTGAACAACAAAGACACAACAAAAGAAATTTCACCACACTACAGTGGGTGCCGCATTCAACGAGGTCACATTCAACGAGAAGTCGGCTCCAACGAGGCAATCCTTAAATCCCCAATTTTTTCCTATATATCTCTTTGTAAATGTACATCAGCTCCAACAAGGTTGCAAACATACCGAAGTCGGTTTCAACGAGGCCAAAATAACCAAATAAAAGCAATTAGCGGCCCCAAAAGCAAAGAATTCTTCTCCTTTCTCTCCATCTCACGCGAAGCACAAGGCCCATCACCGATTCCTAACACAGTGTATTGCTAGATCTAGTGTGCCTCCTAATATGGGCCCCAAAGTCAAGATGATGGGTGAGGGTTAGCCTACGGTAGGGATGGGAGGGGGTGGGTGAGAACGCGATGCAGGCTATGTGAAACTGGATGAACTCTGGATGGGTAGGTCTAGATCGAGACCTTCATTTTTTTCATTTTTCTTTTCTTCCCCTGATCAGAAAAACCAAGCTCCTGCCTAAACTTTATGTAGATCTAAGCCTAGATGTGAGAGGGCATGTTTCCTCACGACAGAGCACAGCTCAAACAATTGAACAACACACTGATGCTGTTTGAGATTTCCGTCATCAGGGGGAACAACTGTTTTAATTACTGGTATTGGTACATCCTATAATATAATAACTTGTCTCTTTTCTTTAGCCTTAGTCACGTTCAACGAGAGGTTGGATCCAACGAGGACAACAAATAAGTCCCGGCAACCTCGTTGAATGCGACACCCACTGTACATAGTCATATCTCCAACTATGGAACAACGATGACACTGACCTTTCATCTGATTGGACAGCCAGCCCGTCACAGCTATCGTGATGTGCAGCTGCTTGGTTGCCAGCGAATCCACACGCAGCGTGTTGCCACAGACTAGTGGTTCAAACTCAAACTCCTCAATGGCACCAACTCTTTTCTTCATTTTGTATCCTAGACGGTAGAAAAACAATCAATCAGCACAGTAACAGATTGTTAGTGTCTGACTCAAAAGTGTATCCACCAAATTACATCAAACACTTTTTTGTTTAAAATGTAGTCTTTACTGCTCTAATGAACATCCCTTTCTGACTCCTTACAAATAAAAAGTTTTTTTATAAACAGTTGTGAAAATTTAAACCAAAAAAACACCAAAAAATCAACAACAAATGAAAAAAAGATTCAAAATAGTAAATGGATACCTAAATGGATACCACTCAGATCACATTGTCACTAATAATACTAAGGAAGCAAAAAATAACAAAATGCTTATATCTAAATACACAACTTCTTGTTGCTGCTTTTGAGCAAGAAACAAAGTGGCCTCTACCTACAACATCACACGACTATCTATCTCCCCTCGAACTAAACCACATGACTATGTCTCCCCTCTCTACAAAATCACATGACTACCTGTGAGTCCCGCGCCCGCCACACCAAACAGAGACCCGATGAGAGCTACGCCCGCCGTGGTTCCGAGGACGGCCGCACCCGCGCCTCCGATGATGGCCCCAGCACCTGCGGCGACCAGAGGGGCTGCCAGACCGCCGGTCAGTCCTGGAGGAGACGGTCAAGAGAGAAGGGAAATTTTGAGTTTAAGAAAAGAGAAGCGAAAGAAATATTGGCCCGCCACCCCTAGGCACAGAGACCCAAAAATCTATGGGGGCCTGACTGGAGGATCTGCGGCGATCAGCAGCTTTAGCACTGGAGACTGGAACGTCCATTTAAAGATGAATGAGAAAAAGGAGAAGAAGAAGTAAAGAGAAGCACACCAACGCACTTACAGTCATTTAGAGCACAGGAAAAAACAGACATATGGACAAGCAGACAAAATTTACATGAAAAGAAGGACATACCTGTAGTGTCCTCCAACCACCCTTGAGAAAGTGAGGAGGGAGGAAAATATTAATATACGTTCATACTAACGGTCAAATGCTTAGTGCTGAGAAGACAAGTTTCCAATACTACCATTAGAAACAACCGGGGGAGTGAAAGAATAAAATCAAAATTGTGAAGTAATTTAAAATGTATAATAAACAGCATTCATCTTCCGAAGGAGATTTGTGAGTAAAGTAAAGTAGAAATTTCCAAAAGACTGCCACCCACTGTCAAAGAGAAAGGTGGTTGTATCCATCATTGGACATCTTGGAGGGTGTCATTATAATGTTTTGAAAAATGCAGGGGGGGAGGGAATAGGAAACGGCCATTTTACAGCTGACTGTCTTGGACAGGCAGCCGTTTGAGCACGTTTGACTGTATGTATCCCCCTATTTAGGACACCCTTACCAACTGCCAGACTTCTGGGTTGCAGCTATGTCTTACAGGATCAGTAAATAGCTGGCATTAACCACTGTGATGTGTAAAGACATGGGGGATTATGCTTTACTTTTATCAATTTGTGCTTCACTAAGAGGCATTACCGCATACATATAACACCAAATAAACTACTAGATCACCAGCATATCATCATCTGTCCCTGGCACAGAGCCCAATGTTACAAAGCTACAGTCAACATGTCTCGCTGGACAACACAACCCACTGCTGACTATCCATGACATCTAAAAGCTGTCACACTGACATGGCATGACATTTGACTTGTGTTCTCTAGGTACTGGACTATTAAAAAAACATTCACAAAGTAATATGTCATGCTGAATTTAAGTTTAAACTGGAAACATATCAAATATTTCATGATTATAATTACACAAAAATGTTTTTTTTTTAAAGAAAATAAGGACACATGACGAAAAAAAAAAAACCCCTCTTGTCTGTCTTGGCCTATCTAACTCTTTCAGGTCTTTGGATTTTGAACATTTACCAAAAAAGCAGAAGGGATAGGATTAAATTGGACACAAACAATGGGAAAAAACACCAAATGGCAACTTAGCTTCATTCGGTTGCTCGCGAATAGTTTGAGGTATCAAAAACTAGTAGTGGGCAGTGTGTAAACCTGGTGCACCGAACAACTGATTGACGCATGCTACCTTGTTAGGCAAACAGGAGCTGTGCTAGAAACACACACACTGCACTGCTGTGCCAGGATGAGCTACAACACAGGACACTTTGTTAAGGCTTTTGTCAACCATGTGCTCCAACTTTTTTTCCCCCCGAAATCTCCCATAAATTTGCAAACGCTGGTGTCAGTTCAGTAAGAAAGTACGTTTAATTCTCTATTTATTTGAGAAAAATAGAGGCATTTTTGCAAGCATCTAATTTTCCCTAAATTCGGGGAACTGTTATTCTTGAAATGAAAAGAAAATCAAGGACCAATATTCTTAACATCAAGCCAAAATCCCATTTCAAAAATATTACAAAAAGAAAACAATGTCCCTCACTAACATCTGGAAAGTTACGCCAGCCCATGTAGAAATGCCGGAGAAGAGTTAACTATCTACAGTAACCAGTACATGTTTATATTATAAGCATTTTATTGAGCCTGCTATGTCATTGTATTCAAATCAGTAGAAATCACTTTTAAAGTAACAGATATAGCAAGAGACATTTATTGGATGTATAGAAAAAAGATATAATATAAAAACAGTTTGAAAATGACTTAGGGCAGCAATAAATGACAAGTAAAAAGAAATAAAAAGTGATAGGTTTCGAGGGGTATATTGATAAAAAGACAAAATGTTATACTGGAAAAAATTAAGAACACAGTTGAGAAATCATAAGAGACAGTTATGTAAGGTTAAGTTGGGATACAACAAAATGTTACGTGAAAATATATTTAAGAAACACACTTCAGGAAAATACTGAACAGAGTGATATACAACAAAATGATATGGATTGAGACAACTGGGAACAGTAATATGCAATAAATCTCGGTGGTTTTATGTGGCCATATTAGTGTCACTAGCATTACATCTCACAAGCAGAAAAAGTCCTAATATTTTATTCTTAGTCAGTTTCTGCGAAACCTTTCAGCATATTAGATTCATTCATAAACTCCTTCTGTTATTTTAGAGTAAAACAGGCATTGTTTCGCAAGCATTTGTTCTCCCTGCATTCAAGGAACTGTTATTCTTGACATGAAAAAAAAATCAGGAACCAATACTTTTAACAAAAAAGATAATCCTATTTCTTCAAAAAGGTTGCAGAAGCCCATGTTTCCCAGCTGTCTCGGACGGGTGGCGTTGTGAACAGCGTGCAGAGAACAAAAAGGGTGACTACCTATCAAAGTGCCACCACCCACAGTAGCCAGACCAATCAAAGCGTAGCGCTTGAGCTTACGTTGTTTTTCCTTCTTCTTTTTCTCCTGCTTCTGCTCCCTGCCGAAGACAGACAATCAACAAACTCAGTGAACAAACAAACAAAACTATATACTAAAAAAAACAAAAAAACATAGGCCATTCATCACGCAAAATAAAGAAATCATACACCCAACAAATACCAGGAAATGAGCAAACAAAAGAAAACTTGTAAATCAAAGCATGTTAGTAATTCAACATGAATACATACATTATATACTGATCAGTATCTGTCATTATATTCAGAAACAAATATTCTTTACATATATGGTCATTATATTCAGAAACAAATATTCTTTACATGGTCATTATATTCAGAAACAAATATTCTTTACATATATGAATGATGAATACATACCTGGAACAGAAAAAGAAAAAAAATATGTAAAACCACATTTCACTAATAAATTACCAGTATAACTGCCATCAAAATAAACCTACTTGGTCAGGCAAACGTTTGAATGTTTGCAACAGTGGAAATAAAAAATAAGTAAAAGGGGCAGTCCCATCGCGCCCCCTCCTCCAAGAAAAAAAAATTAATGCCAACTGGCAAAAATGTCAATCAAACAATGTAACTTTCAGATATATAAAGGAAGAAAAACACAAAACTTGGAAAATAACAGTTACAGTCTAGAGATGTGACAACAATAAAAACATCGATACACTCAAAGCCAGGTACATCAACGTTAGGACCCTGATGCCAATATCTCTACACACACCAATCTAAAAAGTCACCACGTGCATCCCGTGATTAGCAAGATAGTTCGGTCTTCCCTAAAACATCTTCCATTTGCCCACTTTGTGAACAAGTCACTACCTCAGAATTACAGCGTTCAATCTGCTCAGTACCTATTTTTGAGAAATTTGAAATTTAAAAAAATTTGAGTTTCACAACAGGTCAAGATTTTTTTTTAAGCAATTCTTTGAATATCTAGATGAAGACTCTGAATAATCTTACGATTTTGGTAGAGCAGATAGAACATTTCGTTTCTGACCCCATGGTCTTGATAACTCAAGACAGTTAAAAGTGCCAATCCTGAGGTAGTGAAATGTTAAAGAAGTATAGAACTCAATGAAGCAGCAGTTGGACAGCGGACATAACAGCCAACAGCCTGTTCTCTGTGACTCATTGTAGAAATAACAGTATCATTTTATTTTTCCATACAACTTAACTCTTTCTGACATGTGAGAGGCCACAAGATCAAACTCAAACCATATTTGATGATCTAGGTTTTAAAATCTCAACCGGAGAAAAAAAGAAAACATAACATTAATGCTTTTCCGAATCTCATATCATCTAGGACATGCTTTCTGCAACTGAAGAAACGACGACTGTACCACAAGTTAAACTATATGTTGTTTTTTTCTTACACACACAAACTTAAATGAAGAGCAAGCCTGGAGGTGAATGCTCCAGTCAGATACAAAAACAATAAGAACAACAGTACAGAGTATAGACCATTCGCTACTTTCACAAGTTTTGGCCGTTTCGAGTTACTATGAAGATCAAGTCATAAACCAAATGTTGAATCTTCTCTTTCAAAATTGTAAGTTATCAAGATATTCAAAGAATAGCATTCGAAAAAGCTCAACAAGCTGTGAAAATCAAAATTTTTTCGTCAAATTTCTCAAAACTAGAAACTGGGCAGATAGAACTTTGCAATTCTAGGGTAGTGAATTATGTTGTAATGCAAAGTCTAAACCTCTGAAAATAGACTGAACAGCATTAACTGACTGCCCCGTGATTCTTCTCTACAATTTGCTGTAGGTCCTCTCTTTCCCCACATCTCACTTCACAAACATGGCCATTGTCAAGAGTCAAAGAGGCAGAAGAAAGAAAACAAGGCCAAGGTATGACAAAACAAAAATATTATAAAGAAAAGGAATAGAGAAAAACAATGTAGGAAATACGCCTGCTGTTACATAAAGTTAAAAAAATATCAATATTTATAATATATATTAAAAAAGTAAAACCCATTGTCCCTTGCACTTATACAGCCTAGGAAAAAAATTAGAAAAAATTTATTAAATGCATTTCAAAATCTTTATCCATGGGCTGGTGTGTGCCAAATCCAGCATACAGCACCCTGCTGGCAATACCTGAATGTGCTTTGGTGACGCTGTGACACAGCCAGAACAGTTTTAACACTTTGCCATCATATTTTGAGAAAAATCGAAAAAAACTGGGTGGTAAACATCGCCAATCGGTGAGATGAGGCGGCAAAGTGTTAAAGGAAAATCCAGTCCATATAGTCGTAGTAAGTGCATAAATCGTTTAAATATTCTTGATTTAGAAAAAAAAGACAAAAAATACCAACCAATGTACCAAAAAATGAGAGTCAAAAAACAACTACATGAAGGAAAAAGCTAGAAAATAACAACTAGCCAAAGCAGTGCCGGAAGAAAAGTAAGAAAAACATTTGGTTGAACACAATACATACACACAAAATGGTGAGAAAGAAAATAAAGTATGAAAGATAATAAGCATAAGCTACCAAAGATGATCACTCCCACATACATAAACACACACAACCACGCACACACGCAAACATTCACTCACACACACACACACTGACATAAACTCGTACAAACAACACACTTACTCTCAAACACACTGTATACCACATTCACTCACATGTACACACAAACACATACTTAATCACTCACAAATACATATATACTCATTCACATACACACATACACACACACACACACACACACACACACACATTCTCTCTCTCTCTCTCTCTCTCTCTCTCTCTCTCTCTCTCTCTCTCTCTCTCATACATAAACACACACACACACACACAAACACACACACAAACACACACACACCATACACACATACACACACACACACACACACACACACACACAACACCCATAAATTCACCAACTGAAGAGGTGACACAGGAATCGAACTAGAGAGAACAAGACTTACTCCATGTCAGCGCTGAAAGTGAGAGTGAGAACACATGAGGCAAACACCACGAGGGTACTGAATTAGTGATCGACTCACCGACCACAGACATGAAAAGTGATCAACACACTACATTACAATGTGATCTATGATCATGGACATCAGTAGTGATCCACACACAACACACTACATATGTAGTGTGATCTATGATCTTGTAGAAGAATAGTGATCGACACACTACACATAATGCAGAGTATAATTTGATCCATGGTCATGGACATCAATAGTGATCAACACACTACACATGACCATGGACATCAACAGTGATCAACACACTACACATAATGTGACCTACTACCATAAACATGTATGGTGACTAATGCACTACTTACAATGTGCCCAACGACCATGAATATGGGCCAGCATTTTATACACTGACCAAAAAATATCGCCCACAAAATGATTACGATGGCCCCTCAAAGATTTGATGCGAAATATAGAACACAAATCAACAAATACTGGCATTGAAAAATAATACTATGTTTAGAAATTTAAATTCTTTGAGAAAAGGAAGAGTTGTAGCTGGTGCAGATGCTACAACTTAAGCTGCTTCAAATGAGTTAGGTAAGATGCTGGAATTGGATTCTACATGATATAAGTAAATAGTAATATGAGATATGTGAACAATAAATTCAGACAAATTAGTCAATTCTGTGAAATTTATGATTTATGGGAGTCAAACTGAATGCATGCTGTTTTAAGTTTACATATATTATGTACTTTGAAAATAACTGATTAATTTGAAGTGAAAGAAATGTAAATTGATGTTTAGTCATGCTATATCTTTAGATATGCATATCTTTACAAAAGGATCTTATGTTAGAAGTAGTATAAAATCATTCACATATGGGTGGGTTTCACCAGTATATATACAGGAGACTTAATAATCTGCAACAGCTGGACACACACACACAGCACACAGATAATACCTTTCCATCCTACGTGAAACGGAGGAGATGCAGATCAGAGTGAAACAAAACATGGGAGAGAAAGTGTCATTATCATATCACAACACAGTACAGCCTACTTAAACAATACACAGCAATAAGTTCTTTCACAGCTTGTGGTAATGAGGCATAAATCTCTAATCTAACTCTGTATAACTGAGCAGCTGCGAGTTGCATTAGTCTTAGTAAGAGTTTTACCCAAATAGGAAATACAAGTGCCAAAGATTAGAGGCGTTAAAAAGAAAAGAGGCAAGAGAGAAGATAGATGTTCGACAGGAAAGAAAGAGCAAGCCACACCAGAGCACTCGCCAACCACCCACAAATCATGTGTATCCAGTGTATCATCAATGAAAGTTCTGGGTGTAATCTTGTAGCTTATATCCCTTTAAAAAAAGCCTCATTACCATATGTCTGACAGACAAACAGAAACAGTATCAGTGGTTTACAAAGAAAAAGGACTTTTCTGTACATAAGACAGATTCAGGGTTCACATTACTTCAAATATACTTAAAATATTTCGGCTAGGACAAATCAAATCTTTAAAAAAATATCCCTCCTTATGTCAGTTAGGAGCTTTTCTTTCCATATTTGTGGTCTGTAAGAAGAACATTTTACAGTCTCCTGTCAGTTCACCTTTTCATTGAAAAAAAAGGAGGAAAAGTGATCTACCACATTATGTATCAATTCACCATTATCCGCTGTTGCTTTTGTCTGTCTATCTTAATTTTTCCAGGTACTAAATGACCACTACTGAGTTGATGTGTTTTACTTTATTCTGATGAACAAACCATTATCTGTTCGTTACTTTAAAACGTAAAAGAATATTCGACAGGAGCACAGAGACAAAATGTGTCATGACGCGGTAGAATCAGGCGCTCGTCAGTTTTTGGGCATCTGGAGTTATTCGTATCATCTTAAAGCTTGTTCATTTCATTATATTTTGATGAAAAAAACACATGCCTATCTTGAATAGAAGTTGAGATATTTGCGATTGAAGAAGGTTGGGGTTGCCTGGTTTCAGAGGTAAAATTAGTGAGAAAATGGCCGCCAAATTTTGGTGATTTCCAAAACTTGAGAATCCTTGGAAAATGAATATTTACATTTGTTAATCCATGTTTTTCAGTATAATATACACAGAAATATGTTTTAAAATAAACATAAAAGGTGTTGAGCCCAAAAAAAAAAAAGAATTAGAAAAAAATGGTCAAACTGCAAGAAAAATGCAGATATCTTGGATTTCATTACTTTGACGAGCGTCTGATTTCATCACGATGCCCCACAATGACAGTGTGCACATTGGTGACTACATGAGCAACATGAGCACAGCAGAGACTATGAAGGGCTTGAATACAAGAGCAAACCAGCACCATCTCTGACAAAAACATCCACAGAACTGTCACTCATGATTTGTACTACACAGAGCCATCACTTTGTTTTTCAGAGAAAAACCACAAAAGCACCAGTAAGTCCATCTACAAACGTGTCTTATTACTGCATTTGCCTCCGCACCATTTGGAGATCATATAAAACGTCTATAAAAGCAAAAACAGATAAAAAGGATCCACTTTAAAAGGTAGAATATTTTTTAACAGAGATACTCACACTTGTTGTTATCAAAACTTCATTGACATGGGTATATCTTTTTGATAAATGTAGTTTTTTTTTAATAAGGTGAATTATAATTTATCAGAGGGAAAAGTAAATTACATATTTTTACTAGTTTTATTTATTTAATAACTTACAAATAAATTATTATTTGACAGACACATATATATGGCAATATCTGGAAGACACACTAACAAAAAAAAAAAGAAGAAAAATGACGCGCAAGAAGAAAGAGACGCAAACATTTGAATTTTGAGATGGTGAACAGAACAAGGACTCTAAACTTCTTTTATTCCATATCTGCAATAACATGTGTATAAGGCAGGTCTTATTGAAGCAATACAACAAATTTCAAAGAGATAAAAACAGACACAGATCACTTAGTGCAACAACAGCAGTACAAAGCTCAGAGCATCACAAAAAGTCTAAAGAGCGACTTCGGCACCTCTCACAAGGCAAAAAAAATTCTCCATGTCCTTTAAAAATTACCTGAACATTAGCATTTCTGTGAAATAACTTTGGCAGAACATTGAACAAGCCAGATTAGTTTCAGTCAGCCTCAGTAACACTGACATCCACCTGTGTTATGGAACGAGGGGAAATTTTCCATACAAAAACAAACACTCACATTCCCGTAGTAGTGGGAAAATAAACACTTCCCAATTGCACCCAAAAGCAAAAAAAAAAAAAGAATTCTACAAGCAGCATCCAAAAAGAACAGCACCAACTTCCATTTCAATAAGAAAACTAGGAACAAAAAGGAAAGAAGACTTGAGACACATGATCTGTACCTCCAGTTGTGAATCTGTACACCTCCTAAAGAAAGAATTTTATTTCAAGCTACAAAAACTTATCTTAAAAAGCTGCTCTTAATTATGGCATAAGATGGAGTATTAGCATCCTTTTCAACTCAGCAAGTTCAAAGAAGAGACAGGATCTCTGACCTGACATTTATCTTGAGCAGGTTCCACGGTATAGAGCAATGAAAATGCCTCAAAAAAAGCAAAGGTCAAGAATGCTCCACTGGTGAGTCGAAACAGGTTAGTGCACACCAATTGAGCAAGATACCATCCGATCTAACTGCATGTTATGTTCAAGCACCACGCCGCAACTAAATACACTTCTGTTTCCAACACCACACCAGTTGAACAAACTACACACCAAGTTCTAGAACCACAGCGAACGACGAGCCTGCAAGATGGTGCTCCCGCCAGCTGCTGCCGAGGGATGCCAGTCTACCAACCGACAAACCGAGATGACAGCTGCAGAATGCATCGACCCACCTGGAACACCAAGACCTCACCAAAGCTCTTCTGGGACATTTCAGTGACCCACGCTCAGCACTTTTCAAGGACCCCCAAGCAAGTGTTGAGTTCCTGCGTGCTGTCGGCATTGCTGACCGTTTATGACGCCACAGCGCCAGAAGAGAGAGAGAGACAGAGAGAGAACCACAGTGCTGAGCTAATTACATGCCGTGTTGTGCTCCCTCGCACGACACAAGCTGAGCGAACTACACATTGTGCTCCAGCACAATACAATCTGAGTTAATTACACACCATGTTCCAGTCCCACGCCAGCTGAGCTATCTACACGCTGTGTTGTGCTCCCGCTCACCTGACCACACTGCAGATACAATCCGAGTTCCTACTTACTCTGACATCTCATACTGCGCCATGGCCAGCGTCTCGGACATCTCACTCTCAATCTCTTCCACAGCGTCCCACGAGACACGCAGCCTCCAGGCCAGATGTTTGATCACCACTCTCATGCGAGCGTCGTATGACCCTGGGAGTGAATAAATTACCCAGTCAAACACCTCAAACATGAAAGTGTGTATATTTATTAGAAAACTATCCAGTTATACAGATAAAAGTAAACATCCCACCCTGATAGTTATTTCTTTACTATCACATAGTATCAATAACAACCAAGAACAATTTTTACCCCAATTTTCCTCAGGACAAGATAACATAGGCAAATTACATTTTGTACCTCTATTCACAGAATTTAGACCATGAAGATGGTTTCAAACGTGATTGTGAGAGAGAATGAGAAAGGCAAAAATAGAAGGACAAAAAGACAGACAAAACACACAAGAGAAAGAGAAAGAGAGGAGAGAGAGGGGGGAGATAGAGAGAGAGAGACAAGGGAGGGAGGAGATCAAGAGAAACGAGGGAGGGAGGAGATAGAGAGAGACAAGGAAGGTAGGGAGCAAGGAGGAGGAGAGAGGGAGAGTGAGAGACAGCGAGAGAGAGAGAGAGAGAGAGAGAGAGAGAGAGAGAGAGAGAGAGAGAGAGAAAGAGAGATAGAGAGACAGTTTTCACAGTTTTCTGCCCACCTTTGCCGATTGCAATAGCCAACAGTTGAGAGACAATGGATTCAGCCCCTTTCTGGAGAACTTCCTCAGCGAGCAGTATGTCGATGAAGGGATCCATGTCATCTTGACCGTGACCTTGAAGCATCGCCCTCACCGACTCACACACCTGGTCCCAAGAACAAAAACATATTACAAAATTCCACAGCTCAAGAAATCAGGCACAGAGAAATCTTTTCAGAAACTTACAAAATAGACATGGAGATGAGCTGGAATTAAAAATCCTTTCATCTACAAGAAGAGAGAGGCTGTAAGGCCCTACTGATACTATTTTGTGAGGCAAATACCGGGAAGAAGTGAAAAATTACTGAATTTACAGACCTCACCATCATGGCCCAAACAACACAGATGGGCTGATGATCGGCTTGAAAGTATTAGTCTTTTCATTTTAACTCTTTATCCCCGAAGTGTCTTCCCACGATGCCAGAGCCCTCTTTAGGTGAAGGACACTACAAAGCGACATACACGTCACTAAACTGGTCATTGAATTAAAAGAAATTAACCTAATTTGATAGTTCTTCATCTCATGAAAGAACTACCACTTAGAGAGACCTATTTTCCGCAACTGCCGAACAATAATATAAAGGTCGTCATTGTCGCAAAGGAATGTGACCAAGCCACAGCAGCAACTCATCGGCACAGCAGTTTTGACAGCTTGTCGGAGTATACGGAGCTATGGTAATGTGACTTTCCTTATCCACATTGAATAAATTCTTTTCAAAGAGATATAAAAATATATATGTCGAAGAGATTTATTTTGGAAATAAAAGAGAGCTGGTCTGAAAAAGGGTCTTTGAGACAAAATTACAGAATTACACCAGTGACATACTGATAATATGATACACTAGCAACAAATAAATGCTGAAATTTCTAAGTACAGGTACAAGTGCATGAGTTGGAATAATATGTGAGGCATAATGGTGAAATCAGGCACACATCCAAATGATGCAGTGCTTCCACCAGCTGAAGCTGAAAAGTAAGGAAAATTCTGCCGGGGGTCTGGGGGCCGCAGAGGCCCCCAGCAGGGTCCAGGGACAGCGTCCGGGTGGGGGTACGCCCCCGAAAAAATTGAAATTTAGTGCTTTTAGAGGGTTGAAAATGGCATTTGGGAGCCTGTTTGAAGAGATTGCCTACACTAGAGCCCATAACATTTATTTTTTCACCAACATTTTGTCTTGTTTGATTTCTTCACCAACATTGAATTTGCAGGCAATGTTTAAAAGCAGGTTCCCCTTTCATTGCTATTATAATTCAACTAATTTGACGTCGCACCATTGATAGCAGGCAAACCTGGGAATAATAAATAGATGTACCTTCACAATACAGTTGCGCAGCGTATACCCAAATTTTTTCTCAATTTTCACGTCTGAATGTCGCCCTCAGAACACCACTTCGAATTATTTTCTATTTTACCTACGGCTGGATCGGGCCGATCGCCCGACTCGATCGCCTGAAACTGAAAACAAACACGTTTGTTTTTGAGGCAACCGAGTAAAGCGATCAGCGCAATCCCATCCGTAGTCTCGTAGTGGGCACCCGCGTATCAGCATATAATTTCTTTCATCGCTGCCCTTATTGTGTTCACGTGCCGTAGAATCTTCGCATTGATAATTTCTCTAGATCTAGATTCTAGACAAATTTGCAAAAAAAAAGTTTCTTTCTGACAGTAATTTTCTGTCTCTAAGATCACACGTCAATATACTTGATCAACGCGCAGATTTTCCAGCCGCGGCAACAATCCGAAGATAGACAGAAGGAATGAGTAAATGATAGAAAGGAGGAAATTGGCACAAAAGGTTTGTCAGATTTTGATCCATCTGTAGGTAAAAAATGTACTGCCGACCAACCCGCAATGAATTCAAGGGGCATAGCGGAATAATGGCCGATTGCAGGAAAAGCGCAATCTGGCAGGTTTCAATAACTTTAACTTGTTGCCGAGAGAATTACCGTAAACATCCGTAACTACAATACGATAGGAAGGCGAGTACGGAATTTCGGCAGTCCTGCACTGTCGCAGTTTTGTTTTTTTTAACGGAGGGAGTTGATGATGAAGGAGGAACAAGTACGGAACGGGCAGAAAGTACGGATTTCCGTAAAAATACGGAAGAGTGGAAGCACCGATGATGAAATCGAAGTAATCAGCATTTTCCCCTCGGTTCGGCAATTTTTATCGAATTTTTTTCAGTCATCACACAAAAAATGTAAATTCCACTTTCCAAGGACTCTCCTATTATGGCAGTCATAAAAAAAACTTAATCTGGAGGCCATTTTCTCGCTAATTTCACCTTTGAAAGGAGGGAACCCCTAGTCTACCTCCTTCCATCGCCAATACCTCAACTTCTATTCAAGATACAGGTATTATTTTCATCAAAAGAAAGACAAATGAACAAACTTTAAGATGATAACAACAATATCTACACATGCCCAAAAATTAATGAGCGCCTGATTCCGTCGCATCGTGACAAATATGAATGTTGAATATAACCCACCTGCTGAGGTTGTTCTAAAGAGATGAGGATGACGGCGAGTGCCTCTTCCCTGAATTTGCTGAAAGAAAATTCAAAAGACAAAGAAACATTTCATTCATTTACCAACTGCCTAACACGCCGACGATAAAATAAATACAGAACTACATGTTCCTGAGGACGCCTCTTGTTGTCAAAGTTTTATCCAGGTACTTTTTCTATTAATGAAGTCATAATGAAGTGTGTGAAATTATGCATGCATTACTTTTACTCCACTTTTCAACTTTGGAGACAGTTAAAACAATGACAATGTTCAATGATCACTTCATAACATTGAAAGGAAGCAATGGTTAAAAGTTACAGAATTTTTAGCCAATTGACACATTATTATATGTGTGTTAGAAAAAAATTATTTTGAGAAATGGGGAAAGAGAAAAAAAAAATTAAACGTTCAGACACTGACCTGTCATTTTCTCCTTCAAACTGTGTGTGCAATGCAGTAGCACAGAGGGCAGCGTAGGAGAACTGCCCCACATCACTTAGTTGTTTGTGAATGGGTACAACTTTACCTGCAACACAAGGCAATAAAACACAGCTGATACTACATTAACAGCAAGCCCTGAAAGCTGTTGTGTTGTTAACTCTGACCATAGACCTACACTGAGAATACAAAAGTGTTCATTGCTCAGACTCAGAGAAGAGTCGGGTAACTTCGCCACTCTCAGTTGGCTCGCGACGAAACAAGCCTACACCCCCCTCTACATGCTTCACGTACAAGACCCCAGTTTCGTCTGCAACTGTTCGTAGCCAAAGAAAATGCAGAGATAGTCCACTGATTGGTTTGCTTGCTTGTTTAGTCGTACTTCACCTGCTTCGTTCTTTTTTCAAGAAGATGTGGTGACACTGACAGGGAACTTCGCCACCATATTGGGGAAATTCGCCAGTCCTTTTGGGGAAATTTGCCATACTGGGAGATCATATTTCATTATAAAACATTTGTAGATTAAAAATGTAAAAACTGACCTTTCTTTAGAGGGAAACCAGCATTTCTAGCTGCAATCACTTTGTCAACAATGCAGCCCTCATTCCAAAAGTAGATGGACCAGGGACATGGTCAGCAGGATGTTTTCTGAAAACACTAAATTCTCGGGCTGTCCCAGAGCAGCTTTGTCCACTTTAAACAGATTCAACAGCTTTCTCCAAATCCCTTTATAAAGTTTAAGTATATTTGTTAGGGATTCCCTTGCTTGTTTTCCCCATAATATAGTGGTAAATCTAAGTAAATTAACAAATGGAAAATAAATAGACCTGCGTGGCGAAGTTCCCCAACAATAGAGGCGAATTTCCGCGACATAAATGGGCATACAATGCATAGAAACGACAATAAAATGTTGAGGCAAATATAACAGTTTAATCAATAAAGTAGTTTCAACACAATTTGAGTCAACAGTTTTGTACAGCAACGGTAGTCAATAGACATAGAAAGATAAAAATAGCACATGCGCAGCAGAGAAAGGGCGAGAGAGGAGGAAAGGAAAGTTTTGCAGGAAGACGCATCATGCATGCTTAAAACACCGCGATTGTTCTTCATCATAACAATTAAAAACTTTTCAGATTGGTAGATCAACTGACAAAGAATAGTTTCTGGTCCCAAGTAATAAGTAACTTGATACTTAAACTCTTCCTTGGTGGTTATCAGAGTGCTGCCATTTTCTCTTATTCCCATCCCCCCGAAGGGATTTTAAAATATTTTAAGAAGTCAAAAAGAAAAAAGAAAAACACACACACATACATACATACATACACACACACACACACACACACACACTCACAAACACACACCGCACATGCTTGTGGCCTTATATGCACGTGCGCGCACACACACACATACACAAACACACACACAACAAACTAACAAAGACAGTCGCAGCTCTTTTCTTGATGTTGTTGCTGCTGTTGTTGCACCTAGTGGTTTTTGTTGCTGTTGTATGCTGCTGACATTTTATTGTAGTTGTAATATTTCCTGTCTATAATGTGTACAGATTAAGTCAACTCTTCTGTACAGTAAGTCTTTTTGTGGGTTTTTGCCACACACTTTAAGTTCGCCTTCTCAACTATTTCAGATGATTTCTTCCTACAGGCAACAAAATTTTCATCTTAAAATTTAGCTTTAAGCTTGGTCAAATTCGTCTTAAGATTTGAATGCCTGCTCTCGAAAGCCCTTGTCAGGTGGAGATTAGATAACTAACTAGGACCACCAAGCTGGGAAGCGAAGCAGAAATGGTAGATCTAGATAATGTTAGATTCTAATCCTCAAAGTAAAAGAGCTCCATGTTCACTCTGTCGCAATTAACGCCGCGTTAGTTGTCACAGCATCACTCTGTCGCAATTAACACTACCATTGACTATTAGAAACCTGTTGAGTACACAGGTGTCTTATTCAGGTTTAAAATACATGTACTGTCAGTAAGGCACCTTTTGGTTTCGTCTCAAATAAAGCCATCATAAAGTATGGCTAGCCCAGCCGTCTAGCCGTCTTTAAGTAGACTAGATCTATAGCTAGCCTGACAAGTGGCAAAATGGAGGCCAGTCGGAGTTTCTTCTCCTGCCCTGAAGGTACCTTCAGCAACTCCTGATATCCCTCAACAAACTCAAACACCACCAAGAGCCTTGCCACCACCACAACATAGGAATTTTAAACCGCTGGGTTTTGTATGATAGCTCTAGCTCTCTACACCATGGAGTCTTTTTAACTCTTCTAGTGAAAAAATCACGAAGATCCACCTTTAACTTCCAGAGATCTCCACAAAAGATCGTTTGCGATATATCGCATCACTGGATTTATCTCTATTTAAAATTGTTTTCTCGAGTGACTTCTCCTTACCCGTTTCCCCAGAACAGCGGAAGCAACGGCGAAAAGAGAAAAACAAAAGAATCTATTGTCGTCAGCGTTCAGTGACGCAAAAGAATCTGCGCTTTTTGTCGGTAGTTCCCACCCCGCAATTGTTATTCGCCGGTTTTGGCCTCAAGAGAGGGGGGTTTCACCCCCTGTCCTTATAAAAACAGACCGTAATAAAAATGTGGTGGGGGGGGGTTCAGGGGGGGGCAAGCCCCCCCTGAATTTTACCATAATTTGATGTTTTGCAGTTGTTAGGTTGTTTGATATCTTAGCTCGCATCAAACGTAGATCTCGATGTAGAGTAATCGTACCGGTTCGGGCAGCACGTTTTTTTTTTTGCTGTCGGGCACTGGAGTACAAAAAGATCCTTTAAAACTTTGTTTTCAAATCTAGCCCCAAAAGAGTGGCACACAAACCTAAAGCAACCTCCCTTACTTTCGTTGAAACAACAGTTACGGCGATATTTTGCTAAAAATAGTCCTTAAGACAGCTTTTTCTTCATCAACTGAGCAAAACAGCGTGAAGCTCTTTCCCCGGAAGAGTTAACATTGGTTGTGGATGAAGGAGCCTGTGACCTAGATTCTACGTTTTGGTAGACTCTGAAGGCTGGAGAGTTATTTGCATATGAGGCCCGGCCCTGTCAAGGATGAAAGACAATTTGCCGTTTAGTCTCGCCGTTTTTGCCCAAAGGGGGGGTGCCCGGATTGTAACATAAAATCCGTAGTTTCTCATCCTTCGGGCACATAAGATAATATAGAGCCAATGGTATAACAAAGAATAAAGAATTTGTGCATAATTTTAATAATAGTAGAGTCAGATACAGCATATTAACTCAGTCAGACACCAGTGTAATAGAGTCAGATACCAGTGTGTAATACAGTCGGATATCAGTGTAGCCAAGTCAGATCCAGTGTAGTTGAGTGAGCCAGATGCCAGTGTAGTAGAGTCAGATACCACGTAGTAGAGTGGGTCAGATACATACTCATTAAAATAGCTACATGGTGAATACCACTTTAGACAAACTATCATTGTGTCCAAGTGTTGATAACAAACATTAAAAATCATGTTATTAAGCTTGCAAAGAAACACATGTGATTATAATTGAAAATGACCGAATGTCAAAATACTGCCCGAATCCATGAGAAAACCAAAAAAATGCGACCGAACTCGTAAATAAATCGGGCGTCACTTTTGCACCCAGTAAGGGCCTCAAACATGAGAACAATAACAAGCTGAAACAGGTCATTCCTGGGGTCACATGACTTCCTGTAGCAGGTTTCGGTTTGTTTCTAGGGCAAGGCAGATAGGAGATATAAAGCTTTAAAGTCGACGTGCCTGTTTTCGTCCTTATATTTTGACCGAACTGGTAATATTACTCTAGATCTAGATCTAGGTCAGGCTCAAATAAGGGGGGGGAGGGGTGAGAACTACCGAAAAAGCACCCAAGAATCTTAGGTTGAATGTGACGTACAGGACTGTTTTGCATGTTTTTAGGCTACCTTGTTGAATATTTTAGTGAAATTGCTGCGTTTACATTGGATTCCAGGACCTGAACAAGAGTGTGATGTATGTAGATTAGTATGTTCACGAGAACAAACTTCGAGAGATGGGTCATTTCTGTGTTGATAGATTTAGATTTTGAGTTAAGTGATGACGTTTGAGGTGTCATCATGCAACCGTACAAGACTGACTGACGTACAACAAGAGATCTAATTTGCCTTCCACTTCAGACTTCATTTCATTAGTCATTAGACAGAAAGAGATTCATTGTCAGATTAGATTCTAGAACTAAAAATTAAGGCTGAAAAATTAACACTATCGTCACTAGCGATCGTTCAGGGATATTTTTGCTCTCTCTTTTAACCTGGACACAAGTCCCACGGGACATTACAAAACACTTCAGTCAATTTTTACCAAAAATATCCTCTGTACTTGAAGTTGCACTATTCTCATCTCCTGGCTTAGGAAATTCATTTCCATCACCAGGTTCTACTTTGCGACCGCTAGCCGCCATGTTTATGGACATCTTTATTTACTTCCGGTTACACAAGCCAATTAGCATTCGCGGGAAGGCCATGTTCGAAAAGCACCGTGTTTCATTCCAGGTGAGAACGAAGGCAAGATTCCAGTAGGCCTTTAGTAGTTAGTAGCCTTCCAAAAATTCGTACTTTTCAAGTCTCGGTGGTTGCAGCAGAAGTTTCGAAAACTAGTTAAGGCGTTGTTTTAGATAACTATTCTCTAATATCAGCCGGTAGTTACTTTTACAGACCTTAGCATAAGTTGTAACTGTTTTTCCTACCATTAGCGTATAGTAGACTCGCTATTGGAACCCCAGGAGATACGATTAAACATGAAAATAATCCGTATAGGACAGGCTAACCAGTTTGACGTGTTTAAGATGCTTCCAGTCTAAAGGCCCGTATAGAGGATTAACACGGTTAGGGCCTTCTATAGGCCTACGGACCGACGTGCACACAGGCCCAGGTACCGGGTTGTTGTTTTTTAAATATATCATTAGTAATTTGGGGTCGCTTCTCTATAACGACATTTTTCTGGTCCCGATGATGTCATTAAAGAGAGGCTGCGCTGCATTAACCTCTGTTTATTTACATAAACTCTATGTCTTTCGTCACTGAAATGCTGCAAAGTATGGGAAAAGCTTCCTATTTTGGTAATGAATCTATATTTTTTAATATTTAGAGACTCTAAGAACGGCATCTGCAGAGGTCCCATTTTTGGAAGAAGGGGGAATGAGGGGGCATACGGTGTTTCTGATCATATTCAGTCCTTGTAACTTTTTTTTTTCAATTTGAAAAGTTTCATTTTACACTTAAAGCTGTCACCTGTTTTGCTTTAGTACACCACCTTCTCTATTAGGTATGATCGAGGGTTTGTTCCATTATCATAATCCTCAACCCCACCCGATGCACCTACGTAAACAGCACTACGCTGATTTTGTCCATGCCAATAACTCGATAACTGAGGGGAAGGCTATGGCAGATTAAATCTAAAAGAAATGGTGTGATAAAAGTCTACTTCCTATAGTAACATCCACTATACGAAAACAGTCCGAGTTGGGTAAGATTAACTACTCTGGCTCAAAATGGCAAATGGTGTCAGACAAAACTGTCCTACACCATTAATCTTCATGCCCTACATGGACAAGATACCGCAAGATGCAAACGACGATCAGAACAACTCAGCGAACTGCTCTTCATTGGCGCAGAAAGTCCCCAAGAACATATTAATATATTTAAGTTGAGCAAGGCGATGTGAGCAATATGCCAAGAAAATGAGCACAACAAAGACACCAAACACCTTTTAAAATATATCCAATTCAACAACACACAACTGAAACAAGTACAAAAATTTGTGTTTGTACTTATCCAGACCATAAAATGGACGGAGAAATTGAAACAAGAGTAGGCTAAAATTAAAAGGCATAGTGTGGTCACATACCAATTGGTGCTTTCCTATCAAACCACACCAATGGAGACAGTGAACCAACTAATCAAATCAATCTGTATTATACTAATTATAGCAACTCTCTAAGCTGCACCACAGTGCCAACGCTGGATCAACAACAAAGCTAAGCAAGAAAGAATAACAGCATCGAAATTAAATGTCTTAGAAGAAAAATAACTATTAAAAATCACAAGAAGACAAAGAAACGAAGATGTCAAGCATCAAGTAGGCGTCGAATCGAACATTAACTACATCAAGTGAGATAACAATTAATATTCATAAAGTGTTTTGGACATGTAACAAAAATCATGTGTGAGCTTAATACTCCACCATAAGCTCGGCTCGCTTAAAATATCAAGAAAAAAGTAAAGCCAAGAAAAAGATGGATTTACGGAGTCAAAGAGACTCTCCAAAGGAACAAGATGACAGTCCAAACAGCAACACATCTGTCTATGTCAGACAATGCACCATATCCTTCGACACTCGTGGTATAACTTAAAGGGGGGGGGGGGTGCGAAATATGAAGGCTATCTCACTTAATTAGTGGACCAAATTTTACCACACTTCACACATAAACATAGTAAGGGGTTTTTAAATCCTCAATCAAATGTGAAAAAAGTTTCATTTCCATGGATACGCCTGCCATTTGGGATTTTGTTGACATGTCTTACGTAACGAATACTGCATGACTTATTGTTCATGGAAATTGAATGTCTTTTTGCGTGCAGGTTAGCAAACATTAGATCTACAAATTGGTCTGTTGAATTTTTCCTAAACGAATTAAAATTACATTTTCATTGAATTTTTTCCTGAGGTAATATTCAAGTTTGCAGAAAGTCTACACTCCAGACACCACCAACAAAAATCTATTCCATAGCCTATATAAAAAAATTCAACAATTTTTTTTTTCACTTCTTGCTCTTCATTTTGTGAAATTTTTATGACATTGGATGACAAATGGTGAACTTATTTTTTAAAGTAGGCTTAATTATAGAAAAATTGCGTTTTACGAAAACGGGCGATAAAGAAAAATAAAAGGATTAAATATTGACTTAAGGAGGGATGGTGGTGACAAACATGGGCGGTATGAAATGAAGGCTTTTGGTTGTTGTTGTTTGTTTGTTTGTTTGTTTTTTGTTTTTTTTTTTGGGGGGGGGTGATGAAATAGTTGGAGGAGAGGCTGAGGAAACTAAAAATGCCTAGGCTACAGCTCAAAATCCATAATTTTGAGCCGAATAGGGGCTAGGGTGAATTAGTCACCCTCCCAATCAATTTTTTTAAAATAAAGTAGCCTGAACAACAAAATGATGTACACTAGATCTAGATATCTAGATCTAATTACTGGATGGGCTGAAAAGCCTGAATGAATAAGGCTTTAAAGAATTGTGACACTATCAATAAATTAACTATCGGCCTTTGAATATCCCTCTTATGTTGTACTTCGTTTCATGAGATACCCCACTAGATTTAGATCTAGATTCTTGGCCTATGCGTTTACAACGGCCGCTTGGCCTATTGCAAACTGTTCGTGGAAACGCTGACAGCGGGAACGGACCCGCGTTTGTGTTTTGATCCTGTGGGCTTGCTCCTGTGTTTCTGGACTGCTGATCCAGATCTACTGAAGTTGGGACACTCTCGGTTGACGTCAGTACTGCCGTAGAATCTACGTGAATGTCACTGTGTGAAGTAATACCTTGACCGTTAACACAATTGCTGGAATTGACGACAGTTGCCATTCGAGCAAAATTCTAAACACGGACCGGACAGTTAGCACAGATGTATTCTTCTCGATAACTCGTTCCGGTAAGTGTAGATTCTACTACCATCTAGAGATATCATGTGTGTAGTAGTACACTCAGTGTAGGCCTAGAAGGCCTACCGCCTATCGATGTAGCCTAGGCCCTTGATCTAGAATCGAGATCTGGTCAACAGTTTGTAGAGCTGCCTTGATTGGCTTGACTCTGTATTCGTGTTGAGGGGGGGGGGGGGGGGAGGAATTCCACAACTGGTGAGCACTATGAAACTATGATTTTCTTCTTAGTAAAGTAGGAATATATAGTCTAGAAGAGGGTTAGGCCTAGGGTTTGTGGGAGGGGTAGGGTGGGTAGGGGTAAAGGAGTTGGGTTAGGGTTAGGTCTGTTCTATTTTTTGTGTTTGTTGGGATGGTCGCTCATTAATGGCCTAAACTTAAACGGAAGTTCTTCCTTCACTGCTTGTTTGTGAATAATAATACACTGGCACTGGCAGTGGCAGCTAGTAGTGTGGCTTTCCATTAAGAACGACGGGAGGACTTACGCAACGAGCGACCACTATGAGACAGAGTGGAATAGAGGGATAGGGGTAGGGTTTGGGTTAGGGTTAAGTAAAGGTCTCTTCTTTAGTGTTTGTTGGGGCGCTCTTCACTGCTTGTGAATAATATACACCGGCGCTGGCAGCAGGTGTGGCTTTCAATTGACAGAACGACGGGAAGACTTCCGCAACGAGTGACCACAATGAGACAGAGTGGAATAGACTATAGAGGGGTAGGGATTGGGTTTGGGTTAGGGTAAAGGTCTCTTCTTTATTGTGTGTTTGTTAGGGTGGTCGCTCGTTACGGAAGTCCTTCCCGGAATGACTGTCTCTGTCACTTCACTTTGACGGTTGGCATGCAGGTGTATGCCATACAATGCCTTAGATGGGGCCTTCTTTTGACCTCAGAATGGCACACAATTTAGACATAATTCGGCACTCCAGCAAACACAAAGAGACATAGATCCCTAACCCAACCCCTTTTTCGACCATAACCCTACCCAAACCGTAAACCTCTATAACTATGCCTAAAACCCTCCTAATCTTTACCCCAACCACAAACTCTCTTCTAACCCTTTATCTACTCTGTTTCATGAGTGGTAGCTCGTTACGGAATTCCTCCCTAATTAAATGTGTCATGGCGCAGTGGAATCAGGCGCTCATCAATTTTTTGGAGTAATTTTATTATATCGTCTTAGATCTAAGAGCTTGTTTCATTTGTCTTGCTGTCGATGAAAACATTACAACCGATCTGGCTTTAATAGAAGTCGAGATATTTCAGATTGAAGAAAGTGGGGTTCCTGGTTTCAGGGGTAAAATTAGGGAGAAAATGGCCGTCAAAGTTTTGGTGATTTCCAAAGCATTTTTAAAAGAGAGTCCTGTAGTAAGTAACTGTGAATAAAATTTACATTTTTTGTACTTCAGCCAATGTTTTTCAGTAAAATCCTAGGCCTACAGCTTGGTATTTTTGAATAGACATTATAAGGAAAAGGTGTTTCAAGAGGAAAAAAAAAAAATTTCGATAAAAATTACCAAACAGAAAGAAAAATATGCCATTTTCTATGATTTCAATTATTTATAATAAAAATTATTATTTTGACAAACGCTTGATTCCACCACAGTGCCTAATAAATTATAGGTCTATAACGGAGAACTACTCTTTATGTTCTCTGCTTGGGTTTTTCCCCCTCATTTTCAAAACCAGTAGCCTAGATTTAAAACAATGTTCTTCTAAATTATAAATTGATAATTTTATAAAGGTTCTTCTCGGACTCAAGCTCAAAGAAAGTGAGCGAAATGAGGCTGGGAAAGATTCCAAGGGCATTTTAACTTCTGAGATAAAACAATTTCACCTCATTTCATATTGTATGTCAGTCACTCACTTCTCTTTCTGATTCTTATCGGAGAATAAATCATGATCTCTCTCTCTCTCAAATTAAATTCTAACCCAATATAATACATTAGCAATGACAATGAAAAATTAAATTGGGTTAGAATATATATAATATAATTATACATTATTATATATATATATATAAAACTCATTTTAAAATTATAAAATTATTAAAATCTTTTTAAATTTAAACATAAATTTGAACACAGACTAAGATGAAGCTGTAAAATTAATTCATTTTTGGTTCTGCAAGGTTTCCAGCAACTTGACTTAAACATTTAAAATTTTAACAACTTAATGTGCCCTAGAATAATTGGAAAATGCAGACTTTCTATAGCACTCAGCTTTTATTCTCTTCAGTAGTCAAGCCTGCCCAAATGACCACCACTTTATGGCTTCTTTCCATTTACCAACTTGCATTTTGTTAAGTCTGTAATAATAGCTCTGCCCAAGACGACTCTGGTTTAGTTGAAATAGAAGGTCTAGACTGCCGGACCGATCTGACGGCTGGTTTAGTATAGAAAGGTCTAGTGTGATGTCTCTGGTCACGGGCTGAGGACTGTCTTTTAAAATTTCAAAATATTTTTTTTAATGGTTGTAATTGTAGTTTGTCGGGGGGGGGGGGGGGGGGGGGTGGCTTCTAGCCGATGCTCTTCTTTTGCCAAAATTCCTGGAGAACTTAACAGGGGGGGGGGGGGGGCGCTCTCATGGTCTAGAGGTTACAGTGTTCGCCTCTCATTCCATAGGTTCAAAACCGAACAGTGATGGATAATTTTCTTCTCTAAGATTTTTGTCCTTTCCTTCTCTCTAACCATATATTCTTCTGTCGTCTGATTTCATCTTCACTTTCTGCCCCCACCCTCCTCCCCTTTGCCCCCTCCTCTGGGTACCTGACTCTTTCTGCGGCCAATACATTCAACTTTTTATTCTGTGTGTGTGTGTGTTGTGTGTGTGTGGGTGTTGTGCCTGTGTTTGTAATATAAGTGTTTGTGTGTCATTTCTTCTGTGAGTACGTTTTGTGTCAATACCTTTCACCTCTTTCATTAGCATTGAATTTATCTTATTATTAAACGTAAACTATGATAACAAAATACTCAGTGCATGCTCGATCTTGAATATTCCACATTTAAAAACAAAATACTGCTGCAGTAAATTTTAAAGTTCTTTTTTTTTTAACCCTTTGTCCCTTAGCAGCTGGTGCCTGGTCCTGTTTTGCCAGTGGTCTGTATAATTATCAGGTTACTCTTAAAAGTTAAATTGGGGGCTTATACATGTTCTAGGGGGTACAGTTTTCGGCTCTCTTTAAATAGATCCCCAGTTTGAAACCTGACAGCGACGGAATGTTTTCTTCTCTAAGATTTTTTCTTTTCACCTCTTTTCTTGCACTTTAATCATGTCCTGTCGTCTGCTTTGGTCTCCACTTTCTGCCCCCAAACCTCCCATGCCGCCTCCTCTAGGCTCCCGACTCTTTCTGCAGACTTTTTATTGCTACTTCTTGGCTCCTTCTCATTGCTGTCTTTCAGCCACTCCCGTGGTGTAAGGGTAGGTTTAAGATCTAACACCTAGCAGCTTTCTCGGAAACGGGTGAAAAATCTCAGAGATCCCCATACCGTGTGCAGGTTGCACAAGTTAAGATCCCTTGGTGGTCCAAAATTGATAGGAGTAAGCTTGGGCCGGCACCCAGCCAAAATTTTTAATTAGTTCTTACCAATCTAAAAATGTTTAATTCATGTGTCCCGCACACTCATATTACCTTATGCAGAATTGCGAGCACTGTAAAAACATTTACCAATTTAACAAAAAAAACAAAATTTTCTAATTAACACTGAAAGTGACTCATTCAGAGTATTTTGTTTTCTAGATTAAGTAAATTTTTCAGGGGAGGGGGGATTCTGATCCATTGGGATGTTGGTAGTCTGAATGAAAAAAGTAGTGATTTCAATTGTGCATTTAAACTTCAGTTTTTGACTGTTTGGTAACAATGAAGAAGCTCAGTTGCTTGCACAAAATCAGCTACAACTTTACGAATAATTATTAATGTACTATGAAACATCACATTTAAATTCAGAATTGAATTTAGATTGAATGAATTGCACATTACTTAGTTGGAATTTTATGAATATTGGTGATTCTAAATTAGCATGTTTTTTTTTGTTTGTGTGTTTTTTTCTGTTTGATTTTGATCCAGTTGTATCTACCTTGAATTTCAGTTTCATTAGCGTTTTTGCCCAGCAATTTACACTTAACCCCATTTTACATTATTTACATTTCTGTTTTGGTACGAAGCCCAGTTGCTGCTTTATTTGCTCTAAATTTGATCTCAACCTCAGTCTCGGTGTTGTAAAGAAAGAAACATTATAAACAAGATGTCACTGTGGGCTAACTCTAACAAATAATGTCATCACTGTACTTATGTTTTTTGCTGTTTTGAACCAAATACATGCATTGTGTAAGTGACCCTCCACTCCATTCTTACTGACCTAACTTGAATTTCGTCCTAGCGTGGAAAAGAATTCTGGAGACAAAGGGTGAACTTTCCATTTCGCTCCCCGATGTTTTAATTTTAAAAAATATATAATGAATTTCAGGATTGTAGCAATGTAAGCATGAAAAATGGTTGTTAAAAAAAATTTTGTTGGGGAGGTCACAAAATGATCCACCGCGGGCCACACCCACAGGTGTGACATGTCTGTGGGGAGTTAACATGACATACAAGAGCATCCACACAAATACTTGAATGTTTTTTTAAAAATAGTTTCCTTCCTTTTTTTTTGTTGCAGTGAGCCAAATGCTAGAAGAGACATCTATATGTCACGTTGTTTTAGTAAGGTGTTAAATTCACAATAGCATAAAATAGAAATTATTGAAAATTGTGCGCATCTTTCCATCTGGTTGCGAAAAGTGTATGTCTGTCTCATTTTACGCCATTGTAATTCCTGAAAATTTCTTTCCAAGGGTGCTTCTTAGGTGCCATGTGGGTGAATGGTGGGTATTCTTATATGGTTTGCTCCTTCTTTTCTTCTTATGAAACATCTATCATCCTTATCTCCACTCTTTTTTTTACATGTTACTTCTTTAGTAGCAGCCTCTAATCTTTGTCACTAATATTACCTGTGTGTGT